CGGTGTAACGATACAATACTGTGGTATATGATCACGATCTAGCGAACCACGACATCATACTGCTCAGCCACTGGCAGGTCTCTCAGGGTCACATGTTTAAAAACTAAATCTATGTGCTTAATGACTCTGGCCCCTGAATTGTGATAAGTGCCTTCTTTGATGTCTGGATGAAAAGAAAACGTAAATATGCTTCAATAAATGCAACCGAGCCTGCAAACAGGAAAGCCCACAACTAGATCATTATCAATTAATAATAAAAACAAGGAAATTGAATTGTAGTTCACAGAGCAGATGTCCATCAAGGGAGGAGAGACTCCTGAAGTCTGGATCTCTTATCTAATCTCTGAGAGTTTGTTTCCTTGAGGAAAGGGATCTAGGTCTGTTCCAGGCAAAAACATTAGACGCTGGATGAGTGTTGCTACGCAACCACAAAAAAAAAAAAAAAACACAAAAAAACACAAAAATAAACTTCACAGATGGAGATAAAAAATATCCCCCGTTTTCCGTGATGAACACAAAAATAGTGTAATGTGTGTAGAAAAGGTGTGCGTTTTGATATTTCACAGGCGCATAAAGCGAATCCATTATTTATCTTTATGGATTCTTTCTCAGCCACAGAGCCTCTTCCCAAGCTTCTCCTGCACACGGTGTGCCGTCATCTATCACAGAGTTAAAGGTTTCAAAGATAAAGGCATGCAAGCAAAGCACCATCCATGCACACACACACACACACACACACGCACACGCACACACACACACACACACACACACACACACTGATTTCAATGTCATTACACATTAATAGAACACAGTTAGTAATGAACACCAGCAAAGAATATAGAAGAAAAGAGATTCTGGTGCTTTTTGTGACAACTGCTGCTAGATGGCACTACGGCAGCACTGCCGCCTTTTACTGAAAACGCCAATGAGTCTGTGGCCATGGATGTATGAAGAGGAAAATACAAACACTTTAACAGCAGTAATTTAAATCAGAATGTCCTAAAAGTTGTGAAATGCACTAATGCTAATAGCACAAGATAAAAAGAATTTAAAATAGTATCGTCAGTGAGGCCTGTTGAACTGCTAGAAATGTAGCTTTCATATAGGCGATCCAACTATAGGACATATGTGGGAGGCGAATGGTGAGGAAGAAGAGATTCAGCTTAAGGTCGTTTCCAGCTGTATGTTACAGCACACTACAGTATGTTTCTCCCTCAAGACTCTCCAGAAAAAGTTTCGAATGAAGTGAAGCGATAGTGTGATGTCATTGTAAGTCACACAGACCCTTAGTTCTTTTAGGGCGCTTTCACAAGCCAACATTTTGTCCGTTTTAATCAAACTCTGGTGCTGCTCAACCACTGGTGTGTTTAGGCATCTGTGAACCCAATAGTCGTACTCAACATCCGAAACCTCCTTTCGCAAGCGGTCTTGGACCTTTTCTAAGCGAACCAAAACGCAGGCTGCCTGCGCAATCATTTGTTGAGATGGACACAGCAGGTAAAATAAAGGTCCGGTTAACATGAGTGGCAGAGGACCAACTTTGACTTCTGCAAAGTGCCATGTTTGTTTGACATCTTGGCTGAAGATAACATTGAGAATGTACTAAATAAAGCCCCCAAATAGTGACATTTTTAAAGTCATGATAAACTGACTTTCAGTCATGATAAACTGGAGGGGAAGGAATCCGCAAATCTTTTTTTTTATTTTTTATTTGGTCTGCTTTAATTTTTGCACTGTGAAATGGAACCAGACAAAATAGAAACAAACCACATTTTTTTTAGTTACTGTGACTTTGTATTACACAATATATCATCCTTAGGTAAAATATTAAAGATATTAAATCAATTTTAAAAAGTTGCACGTATCATGTGCTAGAGAATTTGAGCATCACATTACATATTATTGAAACTCATGAAATGTACCTGTAAACATATAACTAAACTGTACTATTAGTCATCTACCACGAATACAAAGTCTGACCTCAAATGAATGGAGTGCCGTCATACAGTAAACTCAAATGTTTCACTTAAAACCCACACATTGCTGACTGAGCCATATTTCCATTCGGACAGCCTTAGTCAGATGTTTGTCAGCAACTCAATAAAGTAGTCACTCCATCAGTGATCTATGAATCACCTTTATTCTCATTTTTCATCACAATAGTCTTCTCTCTCCTGCTCTCACAAAACCACCTTTCCACTGCCATGTATCCGACTAAATATTAGATTAAAGTTGGAAAATGATAAAAAAAAATTTTGCACAAACCGCTGATACAGCTAAATATGCACATAGTTCTCTTTCTCATCACAGTGTCAAGTCTTGAAAAATGGTCTCCATTAAACGTTTCCAGCCAAATAAGCTGCTGCATTAAATACAGTATCTCAGGACCATTGCTGACCCTCTCCTGAGTCTGTGCAGCCTCGTAATGTGAACACAGAGCCAGTTCAGCAGACAGTCAACAGCCACTTGGCTAGATAATGAGGTACCTTTAATGAGGCATCTGTGTTCTTTTCCTAGTAACAGTCTGGAAGTGCACGGCCCCTTATAGCATCTTAGATAAAGCCAGTCTCAGAGTGGGCTAACAAGTCTCTTGATGCTGCAGGTGTAATAATAACACTTACCTATGTGCTTGAATACATGACAGTTAAAACCCTGAAAGGTAGAGTCAACAGTGACAAACTATATTAACACCTTAAAGTAGCGCACACTTTTAGTACACACTGCAGCTGCTCTGACAAAGTACGTACTGTTGCATGCAGTGTGCATTTGATTGGGACATATTACGTCATAGCATTGTACGTTTAACGTTGACACTCATATCTGCTGCGCAGAAGATTGTTGGACAGAATAACCGGAAAAACATGCAGTACGACATCCGGGTATTTTTGGCATACTGCATTTAACATACTATGTATTGGGACATACTAAATAGTTTTTTGCCATACTCAATAGTATGGCCATTGGAACGCACAGAACAACTTTTTGGCACTTTTAGCTGGAAAAATCATCATCAGATAGCCGGCGGGTTCGGAGACTGCATTTCGGCCAATGCGTTCCGACTCTTATGCTCTCCACACTGGTATCACGTTCAAACAGACTTTGGCTGAATGCAGGTAACTCACTACTGCTAACTGGGCTAACGGCAATGTCAACACCTCCGGGAAAACGTCTGTTTTTGGTGTAGGAAGGTGAACAGTCAAAGATGCAACTTATTGTTTGGTAGAAAAATTAAACTTAATCTGAAATGTGGCTGTTAAAAAAAAAAAAAAAAAAAAAGCTTGATGCTTAATCTTAATTTGTGCCTTTGTTGCCCTGTCCACACCACTTAACACTGACAAGAATTTGTGTCCTTGGATTTTTTTTATTTTTTTTTTGTCAAATGAGTGCAATTATACTACTAATTCACATACATATTTTTCTTTATTTGGTTGTATTGGCACTTCTTATGCCAAAATCTTGTCCCGTTGCCTACATATTCTATGTGAAGGCAGCATCTCTTTATAGAGATTAGCCAAACACGAACCTGTCAAATATCTGACATTCATCTGGCCGACGTGAGCCCCATTGTGTCGAGCACAATGACTTTACGAGGAATTAATAACAACTAGATTAGCTTTTCATGACCAAGTGAGTGAAAAGTGAAAATTTCTTTTAAACAAAGATGTACAGTGGTGAAGCCTAAATCCACACATCAATCACCATCAATTTCCATAGACTTCCTCACCCATCTGCTTTTATCTAAAGGTATTCTGAAGTGACACACAGCAACACTCACAGTAGTCTCTCATTCACCTGTGGTCAGAAGCAGTTGTGACCCCTAACCCACTTAAAAAGGACTTTTGTCACCCTACAGATGCAGACGTATTTGGGGTGGAAGCCGGGGAGAAAGAGGATCAACTGAAGACCGATTGAGTTTCCCATCTGCCTCCTTTGACATCCAGTTCAGAGCAGCAGGATGCTGCATACATTCCTGTCAAAGCACATCAGGACATCCGCAGAGTTCTCCAACGAGGACAATGTTGAGCCGAATGCAGGTGGACAAACAACGCGCTTTTTATTGCCTTATAACACAATGCTGGTAAGTTTGTATGTTTACAAATGCATAACTAAACACCATCTTTTTTTCATGATTACTTCATTTAAAGGATTGGATCGTGTACAATGTAGTCCTAAGTGTGATAATATATAATCCCTGACTGTTGTTATTTTCTGTTACATTTGCAGGAATTGCATTCAAGTGAGCTTAAACAAGGAGAGAGGAAACAAACATCAAAAAAGACTGACACTCTGTGTGTCATTTGACAACCTGTCTGAAGTCGTTAAAATGATGAAAGTGAACCTAAGGCTGCAGTGTGCTGACAGTAAATGCAATGATGTGTGTGTGTGTGTGTACCATTATGTAACATCTTCTCTTTACATTGCAGCAATGCTGTGGTGAACTGGGGGACATGGTGGCTGTAGTTCAAAGCCCGGTTCATGTCCAATAAACATGTCGTCACATCTGGCCAGTGATTTCGTGACTCTGTAGTCCAGTCAATGCATTGAGATTGAACTTGAAAATGAGGTTAATTCAGTTCAGAACATCTTATTGGATGCCGAGGGAAAGACTGGGGCAGTAAGAGCAAGACAGTGACTATCATTTTCATGATGAACGCTCAAGGCTGTGTGTTTAAGTGCAAAACAAACAAAATGTTGAGGTTTAGTTGTTGTACGCATATTTATAAATTATATGGAACAGCTTATTAAGCGTTAGTCTTTTGACTGTAAAAAGAGTTACTTCTGCCTATAAAAAAAAAATACTATTTCTGAATAATATTTTAGAGGAAGTAAAGCTGTTGTCTGTGTTTTTCAACCTTTTCTGAGCCGCGGTACATAGTTTACATTAAAAAGACCCCGCGGCACACCAACAACCAAAAAAGTTACAAAATGACACATTGAAGCATAATACAGCATATATGCTGACACTCTAATGACAAGTCTCTCACTTTGTTGATCCTTACTCAGTGTGAACCCGGCCTGTTTAGATATCCTGGCACACACGGAGCTCTTCCTCAGTCTCCGTCTCTCTCCGTTAGTTTTTACAGCAGCCATGCTTGAAAAGCTCATCTCACACCAACCATAATATGCCGGTGCAGTCGGATCCCCAGTGAGTGTGAATCCAAACGAAAGATAACTTCGGCTGTATTGCCTCGAGCTCACCGGTTGTTCTTTTTTTGACCACCACCCATACGAGGCTTCTCATCTGTGCACAGATGCAGTGCAGGGTAATAAAACAACACTCTGCTGCATCTGACAGCTACACAACAAAGCCAATCTCTATAAATAATGAAGAGGAACCAAGAAAAACGGACTGAGGAGAAGGAGGCGAATACGACTGGGGGGGGTGAGGAATGAGCCAGTGAAGGTAAAGCCCGTTTGAAAGAGAATTTGAAACAATGATTGTGGAGAACTAGCTGGAGAGGTTATGACGGCACGAAAGATGAACAGAGGAAAGAGTCTGTAAGGGAGTGAACATGACGTCAGATAGATTTAGACAGACCAACAAACGGACAAAAAACTATTTTGCTACGGACACACAGACAAACCAATGACCTCAAAAAACAGGAAATGCCTCACACACACCACACACACTGGCTGCAGAGCATTAGCAGCTTTATGTGTGCGTTTGCCGCCTCTGAGGATTCGGTGCAGTGACAAACTGAGCAGGGAGCGTCAAGTGTCGCCGACATCACACAGACAGAAAGGCTGGTCGCCCCGCTGACAACCCAACCTGTCAACAGACCATTCTGAGAGCACACTGACACGCCTCACACACACTGAGCACAGTGAAGAGAATCCAGGCCTCCATTTGCCGACTCAGCAATTTCACAGCAGAGCAGAACCAACTCCAAAAATAATGCTGATGTGCTCTTTTGAAGTGTAACCGTCTCCCACCACACACACAAATATATATATACATTTGGGCTTCCAGTAATCAAAAGATGAAAGCATTACTTTTTGGATTCCCTTCAAAATGATTTTCTAATTGGAAATGTTGAATGCCATCTCTCATTAATTGTTTATTGGATCTCTTTAATAATGCATAAAAGAGCGCCAGAAATCAGCTTCATAAATCAAACCACACAGGTTTGATTTGATATGCCTGCAATCTACACTCATGACATTAATAATGGGTTTTGTGCCACTTCTTGCATAGTGAGGAGAGATAACTAAATTGAAAAATGTAACATATGATGAACTACTCTGATACATGCAGTGCACTTCAAGGCGTTTAAAGAAACACAAGCATGCCTCACATATAACAGTGTTATTCCTCACTCGTACTACTACTGCTGCTTGTTACTAGAAGTAACCCTCCGACTTCACGTTCCTGTGAGATGGTGTGGTGAACTCAAAGAGTGAAAATAAAAAAGCCAATTAGCTCATTTCAAATGCCTGTGTGTTGCATTTTCCCTGTGAACCAATAATATACTGAAAAAGGCTTGCAGAGCCAGAAGTGGTATTACCTTTTTTGTCTTGTGGTACGCTACACCTTCTCCTCTACATACTAATGAGACACTTTTTCTCATTTCTTACTTTTTCGAGAGAGATTTTTCCCTTTTTTTTTTGCCTGTGTTGGCCTGTAGGCTGCCATGTGCTACGAGATGCCCCCAGAGCATTAACCTGACTGTGTGTGACAAAGCATGTCCTCTCATCAGCAGCACCTGCTGTCTTGAGCTGTGCTGCTGGAGTACAGATCTGGTCTGAAACATCTTTTGTTACTACGCCGTGCATTGCATAAATCCAGTAATTCTATTTCTATCATGCAATGTTTTAATTCATCTGTATCAGCTCCTACAAATCATCTCAAACAATGTGAAAGCTTTACATGTTACGGAAGAACAATTCTTGTAAAAGAATATCCGGCTTATCTAACGCACAACAGAAGCAGTGGGAACTGCAGTATTCAGGAGAATGAGTAGCGCTTACAGCACAGCCTGCTCTGTAAAAGGTTAGGAGAAGAAACACTGACCAGATGGGCTGGCATCACTGCGGTGGTCTTTTTTTAAATCTACCAAAGATTTACAGAAAATTGTTCTTTGCGAATTGATGAACCTAAGCACACAAGGCACCATGCAATAAATGTCCACCATATGCAAATTCAACATCCAATAAATCTGGATTTTCCTACAGAAAGCGGTTTGTCTCTGGGCCAAGTAGCGGCATCCCAACACACCGTGAAGATCAAAGACTGTGGTACCACCTCCGCTCTGGGAAACACACCAACTGGCAGAATGACAGGAGCATGTATGTTTCACACCAGTATCTTTGATTAAAATAAAAGGCTAAGATTGCGAGGTTAGAGGAATCGTACGAGTAAAAAGTATCACTGCAATGAGCGGGCGATGGATATGAAGCAATGTGCCAAGTGATAAAAAGACACAAATGATACAAGGCAGCACAAGAGAGAAAAACAGAGAAGTTATCCGATTACACAGACACAGGCCTGGCAGACATTTCTAATCCGTTTATTGGAATGAGAAAGCTTCATCTGAGAAATGCACGGGAGTTTTTTTCCCACTGTATGAAAAGTGTATGAGTGTATGAATATCCTACGTTGGAGAAAGCTCCTGAGCAATAGCGACTTGCATAACAACTCCCCATGCAGTTATACATAGGGAGGTGATTGCAGCTATTCTTCACTCCCAAGATAATACCGATTGTGCCATTTTATTCAACACTAAGAAATGAGGAAGTGAACAAAGAGAGCTTCTTTTACAAAGCTCAATTTACTGGCAATTCACTGTCATGAATGTGTTTAAATAATAGTATAAAACCAGCAACCAGCTAGCCAAAGTGGGCAAAGGGAGTGATGCAATGGACTAGTATTGATAACTTGAAAAATGAAATATAAATATGTTAATAATGCACATATGATAATGTGTAAGAAATATAGTGCCTATCGAATTATTTCAGATATAAAGTTATGGTTACAGAGTCTCCATCTCCCTACACACATATTTTGAGTTTAAATTGTGTATTGTATATCTTAGCCATAGTGTGCAGCTGTAGCTAATCTATCAGATCAGAGTAACCCTCCTCTGCAGGGACATTTATAGGCTGCAAGTGTTAGCCGTTTCTGAACTCTGCTAGGCACGTTGACAGGCAGTCCGTCAAAGTTTAGAAATTATTTTAAAGTTCGGAAACTCAATTTGGAAGCCAGAAGCCATAAGTGTCTGATGAATGTTGTAATATAGCAGCCTAAACTAGTTGGCAATGAACCTAATTTGTTTCCCAGCTTAATTTTTCTTTGTTATTCAATGAACGAAAGACTCCCATAAATCCTACACACTGTGGGGTTGATGCCGATACACAAACTGGAATCTATTCTGATAAAGTCGCCTGTTGATGTACAGATTGCAATGTGCTTGGCCAATTCAGATTTCTTTTTTTTTTTAAGTCAGAACTGTGCCATGTTACAAAACGAAAGTGCTCCAGGTTACTGGACAAATTAAATCCAACTGAGATTTAATGAAAATGTCTCCGTCACGCTGAAGAACTTCCACATTGAGGACAGGCGTGTATAGCTGTGACATCACTGTCTGTGCCTCTGTGTGCATGCCGTAAAACCATTATGCGATACGTGTGTAAATTTGACCAGTAAAAAACAGCTATACGAGACCAACCTAAAAATTAGACAAATGAGTCGGTGCATCTCTACGGGTGGGTTATAGCCCATCCCAGCAATGTCTGTAATGAGCTCCTCCCCAAAGTTATCTTCATCCTTCTGTTGATGACATATTATAGGCCTACCCTGGAAGATAACATTGCACTTGTTTCCTCTACAAAAAAAAACGTTGGAATTTGTCCAATGGATTATTGTAGAAAATAAGACGGCCTGACTGGGAGTATACACAACGAGGATGTAAAGGCAGAGTCAGCATGATGACTAATTCAGCCACATGTCAGCAAGCGCCTTTTTTAAGACACGTAGGAGCTTCAAAGTTCACAAGAGGGGTATATACCGACATATTTTATATCTTAGAACAAAATGTTAAAGGCTTGTGTTGCAGACCTTATTTCAGGCATCAAACCAAAATAACCCATCGACTTTGAGTCGAGAGAACTGGAAGTGCAAAAATCTGAACTCCTTTTCGGGTTTTAGGACTCATTCTTGCAGCTCTCGATTGGCTTTTATGTGGACTCATTTATGTACCAAAGATAAAGTATGCACAGTATTTGTAATACTACTGTAGTACTGCATGTACAATCCACGTGATAAAATGAATGATTCAGCCCCATGTCAGAACCACAACACTGTGTTTCGGACGGTGCACTTACTTCTAAAAACACATTAGTCCCTCCCAGGAGAACCTCATAGTGTGCATTATGCATGTACTGTCGTGGGTAGACAAACAGCAACAATAAATACTTTTCAGGAATTCAGACAAACGTTTCTGCTTTTCCTGCAGTCTTTCTTGGAATTAAGTGAAAACATGTTATTCTGTTTAGATGACAAAAATTTTAGAGTGATGTGAACATGACTGGGTTTTTTCAAATGTTTTGCCATAAACCGACCTTGATTGATTGATAAAAACTGTACTTAAACAATCCAAGGGTGCCTTAAACAACCCTGCAGTTGATCCAGCATTTATCTGAAGAGAGCAATACCAGTGAAGAGAGTCACTCACATCATTCCTCTTCCCCCTCCTCAGGCTACCCCTTCCATTTCCACTTTCTCTCATCCTCTATTCCTAGGTCTTCTCTTCTACCTTGCCTCTATCTTGCGTTCTTCCTCTCACTTCTTACCATTGTCCTCATCCATCCCTTTCTTTTCTGTCCCCTCTTCTCCCCAAGTCACAGCTTTTGTGCTCTCATTCTGGGCACGTTCAGCACTGAGCCCTTAAAAACAGGAAATAAGGGAACAAGACTGCGGCTGGAGAGACAGACAGAGGGGTGTGGACCAGAGACATCAGTCTTCTATCCTCACCCATGGGAATGCACTCCTACACATTTAGCCTCTTTTTAATCATTATCTAGTCAAGATGGAAGCACAGGCAGGAAGATATCAGTCTTCAACTGCATCCACTCATCCTGATCTCTGCTCCTCACACTAATGTTTTACATTCCTGTTTCTTCATTCATCTCCTCTCCCTCTCCTTTTGATCCCCTCTCTTCCTGGAGGGTGACAGTCCCATGTCATACTAGTAGCCAGCTCAAGTTCCACACTATTGGAAACTGGATACGACACACCCACTGCACCTCCACCCTGCCATCCTCCGGCCACCACACTCACAAACCAAAACATGACACCCGTTAGAAACGGCCAATCGCCATGTACAAAAAGCAGGTGCTAAGGTTTATGGAAATACTGCATGAAAATACGTTCTGCATGCAAATGTGTGAACGTGCTGAAGGGATGGAAACATTTTGCTGATGAGCGGCATATTTTCATCTCTTCATCATTCACCTCAACTGTCTCAAATCTGCTCTGGACTGAAACACTCTTTAAAGAAAAGAACGCTCTTGTACCGCCGCACTTTGTCTTGACACTCAATACACTGGAATATAAGAAGCGATAAACGTCAGCCCACAGAAATGAGTAGCTTAAAAGGAAATACGGCAGGTAGACAGTCAAAGAGTGTGTGTGTGTGTTTACCTACAGTAAGGCTTCGTCCCGCAGCTGAGAGAGGCAGCGCTAACATCCAGACACTGAACACGCTCCACTGTACTACTGCTGCTGGCTTACTCTCCAATATGAGAGAGACACACACACACACACACACACACACAGGCTCGCTCCTTACCCCACACACACACACACACACACACACAGCTGTGAAGTTCTTGCATACCCCATAGGCAGTCACTCAGCATCACAACTCTCTCTATTCCGCCCTCTCTTCTGCCGTCATTCACACAAACACAACAGTGCGGAGATTCTCACCGTCTATGACTAATCCTCCGGGATGGAGCAATATCACAAACTCCAGCTTTACCTGATATACACACATATAGATATACGTATAAGTCAATTTAAATCAGCTGAATCGATCAATTGGCATTAAATATTAATGAAATTAATATAATTAATGGCTGGTGATGCAGTTATTTATACTTCATGTATTTATCATATTATAGTTGTAATGACTAATTGTAGATATCGGGAAATTCTGAGAGCTATGAGCCTCGACACTTCAGCTACACTTATCCTTCTCGTCATTCTTGAAAAACATTATTTGCTCTCCCTTCCTGCAGCCGTATGTAAAGAGTTCTAGCTCTGGTGGTGTGCCTTTCAACACCAAGACTAAGTAGAACCTCACTGTTGAACCTCTGAAACCAATTAGCAAGACAGTCCATAGCATTGATGCTGAGTGGGTACTTCTGCTTTAGGGCATCACGCCAAAGTAGTTCAGTTTTTTTCACTTAAGTGGCAAACGAAACAATGAATTTTACAGTGTTTGTGAGAAAATGGCCTTAAATAAATGTTCAGTAATGAGGATATTTATGTATCCACTGTAGCACACAGCAATAAACAAGAACTTAGACATACAATGGGGGATATTATACAAGATAAATATGCTAAATCTGTGTGTGTCTGCTTCATGTTGAAAACATCCCTGCTGGCTTTGCTGTTAAGTATCATTTATTCTCATGAGAACATGAGTAAGCTGTTAATAATGTAAAGGCCAGTCTCTTCCTCTCCACCACGCTTTTCTGCCTGCTAGCTATTCAGATCACACACGTGGAGAGTGCTCCTCACTGTGAGCCATCAGTCCAGAGCAAGAATAAGTCTTATGCTGGGAGAAACTATGGAAAGGTTCACTACACAAGTCAGAAAAATAGATATGTTTTTGGTAAGGTGAATCATAAAAGAGCTGCTACAAAATAGACAGAAAATGCAGAGCAGTGTAGATGCCTGAAACCAGTAGGAGAAAGAAGAGGATGGTGAGATGGGATAGGAAACAGACAGGAAAACGGTTTGACAGCAGCATAGGGTGTCACAATACTGAAAAGCAGCAGAAACCAAAATCATACTGAAAAAGCGGGGTGGAAATATAAAAGGAGACCTGAGTGCACAAAGAAAAGAACGGAAATGCTGGGGAGCTCACACAACAGGGAGCGTATACATTTCTTGCTCTTTTCTGTAACATCTTTCTGAGCCAAACGGGGTGATTGCCAAGACAGACGGGGCACGACAGCAGGGAGGTGCCACTCTGCTTCCTGGCACAGACCGCTCTGCAGAGTCACAACAAAACTCTTGTGGAGGCTCAGTAAAGAGAGGGAGTGATGCATGTACGTTCTTATACTACAACAGAGTCAGACCCCAGGACACGACAGCTGTACCTTTCATGTGTGCTGCTATACGAGGCTTGTTCAGCACTAAAGTTGTCAGCAGGTCTACAGTTGCCGAGCTCAATCCAACACACCTCGTCCTCACAGCCTAGGGCGGGACTGAATAACTGATCAAAACATCTCTCTCAAAAAGAAAAGACAACCCTAAATCGTTTGGGATGCCTCAGTGCATTCAGTACAGAAGCACATTTCCTTAAGCTGAAGCAAACCTGACAGGTTTGTTAATGACAAAGCAAGAACACTGGGGCTCAGTGAAGAATGACTGCATGTACAGTACAGTCTGCATGTGGATGCACTTGTAGTTGAGGCCGTAGTCTGTTCAGTCAGCCTCATGCTTGTGTTAACACTAAAACCTCCCAGCACTGCCCTTGAGGTAACCGTTTTCACACATACAATTGTGCAGTCTCTACGCCCTAACACAATGTGTTTCATGCATGCACACACACACACACACACATACACGATGAACAAACCTGTGATGCTTCCACCCGTGCCTGAATCTCCTGAACCCCGGAGCGCGCACCATCTGTCTGCTCATTACACAGTGCAGAAACATACGCACACGTAAACACGCACAGCATAACATCACAATAAATAAATGCACACTTGATGTTTCAGCCATAGACCCTGCATGACATGACTGAGACGAGCTCTTCAAAGCCTGCCAGCATTTCCTATCATCCTACCATCATTGTGGTACTGCTGTGGCGTTATCAGTGGAGGAAACGGGAAGAGCTACAGGCTTCATCAGTGCTGGAAGTACTGATGGCCACAACCCCGTACGTCGTATCAAGCTTGTGACATTTACTCTAGAATACAAATTAATATTCGATGAAACAAATGTAATGCAACCACAGGGAGTAGACTGCATACAGATACAGGGACCGACCAATCGCTATCCCGGCAGGAAACCGATGAGCTCACCAGAAGTCGTTTAGTACAAGTGGCACACACTCAACTTCCGCCACCTTTTCTGATTATTGTTCCCGTCACTTGTCACATTTTTTTCTCTCTTCCCTTTCTTTCTGTATTTTTCCTCATCTTTATTGTAACCTAAATCTTATTCCCTCTCTTTTATCTCATCTCTTTGTTGGTGCATATGAGGTCTCAAGTTGCTGACCACAGGAGCATCAAAAAGCATAGCTTCACCTTACTTGGCTTAGAGTGAGTGAGTGAGTGAGTGAGTGAGTGACTGAGTGTGTGTCAGACAGAGAGAGATATTGTTTAACCACACACACTCATCGGGTATGACGCATCTCTTTTATCTGAGCACCATATTATACATCAGGCTAGATGACTGTAAATGCCTTGTACTGAAATAGGAGTGCATTTGCAAAATGATACGATTGCCAGCATTTTAGAGATTAAGTTCTTATTTTTCCAATCGGGATGCCCAGTCCAACTTCTCTCTCTGGATACCGATTCCATAATCAACTCATGCTCTGCCAATACTGAGGATCCTCATCCATCCATGAGGATCCATCTCTTTATCCCAAGTTTAAGATCTGTTCTCCCCAAAGTACGTTAAGTAACATGAAGCCATGGCGTGTGCGTGTGCATGAGACAGCATCATTGGTATTTGAACACATTTGACTGGGGTTTAAAGTCTATTTGTCAGATCTGAGATGTTTCCTTTTATTCGTGACAATAATTAGCTTGCGACAGCTGTGATAAAATAAGCACAGCAGACAGGCCTGCATGCTGATGTGAAGAATTGCCACCGTCATTAATTAGAAACGAGCACCATCAGTACTAAGACAGAGAATCATGCTCTAAAAACACAGGAGCCAAACAAAAAATATAAATGACGGTAGTAGAACAAGGACAGTCGACAATGATTCAAACAAAATGAAATTGAAAGGAGACATAAGCACAGTAGTGATGAAATGAAAAGGGGACAGAGAGAGACGAGAGCTTTGAGTCAGGGCAGAGAAAGGACCAAGAGATTTTCAAAGAGCATAGTTAGAGAACCGGTTATAGAGTAGTAAAAACCCAGAGTATCAATAAGGTCCGGAGTTAATGGTTCCGCTATCGGTACTTTAGAAGTTAGAGTGAGATCTACGTGAAGGAAAGCAGCATCTCAAACCTCCTCCGTCCGTCTCTGTGCATGTCCGAGTTCTGCTGTACTCTCTCACACTCACCGACTCCGGCTCAGTGCAGCGTGAGACACACATCACGGCAGAGAGATCAAAGAGATCCAAAGTGTGGCTACATTTTACTCGTCTCAAATGCAATAAAACCCTCACAAGTAAGGGAGGCAATACCAGCAATTTATCAAAACATTTGGTGAACACGCAGAACATGAATGTGCAATGAGCAGCCGTCCATCCTCGTCCACTGCAGGTGACGTCAACGATGCCATACGGAGTTTGATCATAAGATCAGGC